GGAGGATTAAAGCCCACACATAAACTCAACATTTGTCATCCATCCATATGTGTGCACACACAATCATGCACTCCAACCATTTGGTGCTGTTGTTTATACAAAGCAACTTGGCCTAAGGCAGCTGACTACGAAGCTGAGTGCACAGTGAGGTGGCTGCTCAGGGAGTATGTGACTGGATTCGGACAACACGATAACCCACACTCAAGGTTGAGTATGGGTTGAATGTGACTTGTCCTTGAACTGTGGATAGTTGTTGAGACATGTGTTAGCAGCTGTCTGAGCCCAGCTGTGCCTTGTTAACCACAAAGTACCCATAGTTTGTTAATGGGTTGTGAATTGGGTTGCTCATCTTGGTTTGTTACCTCAGCTGGGTTCAGACCACATGATGAGCCATAGCTTAACAACAGCCCATAGATTCAATGTAAGCCCATATGCAACCCTTGAATGTGGTTCTTGTATTGCCTGAGCCCAGTCTCTGCCTCCCCTCTTTCCTCACCACCCCCCCCCCCCCATTGGCAAGGGGCAAGCTCAGACAGCCAAGCTGAGTGTGCAGCAATTTCAGGACGATGCCGCACTGTTCTAACCACTGCACAATGCAGCGCGGCTGCTCTGCTGAGGAGAACCAGACTGAGAGAGACAAAGACAGAGCCAGGGCCTGGTTGTTTGCTGTTGAGCAAGAGGAAAGGACTTGGGAGACAATATAGGGCCACAAAGAGAGGCATCGAAAGGAGCAGCGGGGCATGGATCCTTCACTCTGTCTTCCAGGCTTTGGGCTGATCATTATGCAAGCACTAACTGAGCCTTTGGCTAGTACACACCCTGTTTCTTTGGGCAAATCAGGAAGGCTGGTCAGGTCATTTTTTAAAATAATCCATCAACTGCAAGGACAGATGTTCTGTAGTATTTCTAGGCCTGTGATTACTGCTTAGTTCAGGAAAAGTGGTTCAGGGCTATTTATGGGGCATAAGGATTTTGCCAGAAGCGCTCTGGCATCATTATGCTACATGCTGAGGTTCAGCTTTGGCTAGAGCGATGCATCGCACTCCGCAGAGGAGCCTGGAATATTCCACGCTGCTGCTCGATGCTGCTGTGTTGGGCCGAATTCCTGTACCGCCCTCTGGCTTCTCTTCCAGCACTGCTGCTGCCACACCTCCGCCGGGGTCACATACTGATAATGCTTGTGGCCACGGTTGTGTTGCCTGTTCTGTCGCAGCAGGTCAGTTCTGTGCTCAAAAACACATCTTGTGGCCTGTTTAATGTCTCAGCTGCTGCAGACTGTACTCACTTGGTGATTTTCATTTTCATTTTGGTGACCTTATTTTATATTTGGAAAAAGAGGGAAACTTGTCAGTTCTATAAATATCTTGCAAATGGAGCATGCAGTTAATGAGAGCACCAGCACTGTCAGCATAGAGGGCTGGATCCACGGTTGTGTGAACAGGCATTCACGGGTGCAGTGCGACTTCCCTGCCCTCTGCTTCTCTTTTCACCTCCTGTGCTTTCCCCAGAACTGCCCTGGAGGGTCTCTGACCCTCCGGCAGAAGTGGGGCATGTGCGTGGGGCTGCTGGGGAAGGGGAAATCTGTTCCCAAAGGATGACCAGCTTTGGGTCCAACCATTATTTTCTTTAATTTCCAAACTGTTTACTCACTTGCTTTTATCATACAACTGTAGGAGTCTTAAACATTTTTTAATGGCAAGCTGCTTTGCTCTGCTCTGCTCTTAGAGTGAGTGGCCTCCTCCTGTGAAACCTGCCCTGCGCAAGAGGAGCACACTTGCTGTGTGTGGCATCGCTAACGGGGCTTGCCTGGAGAAGCCCGTGGCTCCCACCCCATCTCCCACCTCCCCACCACTCCAGTTCTGTCCCTGGCTTTCCTACAGGCAGCCCAACGAGCCCCGCTGTCCCCCACCCGTCCACCGCAGCTGCCAGACACACACATGGCCTGAAAACTTCCCCAGCAGAGGCCCACGTGTGCTCCCTGAGAAGTCTTTCCAGCAGCAGGCACTCCCTCTCCCTGGCCTGCCCTGCCTGTGCAGATGCCCCCCCCCCCCCGGTGCTTGGGCGCAGGGGCGGGGCAGCCACTGGCTGCATGTGCAAGCCCTGCGAAGGGGGGGGGCGAGGTGGATGGGAGTGTGGGTGTGCTTGCACATTGGCACCGAGTAGGGAAGCAGTGGGGAGCGCCTGGGGGAACCTGCCAATGGCAGTGGGGGAGAGGCAGGTGGCACAGGCAGGAGCAGTACACCCTGGGCTTGATTCTGAGCCATGGGCACTGACGAGATACTTGCTGCCATTTGCAGGGAAGATGGAGAAGCATAGAAACCATGCATGCATGGAAACCGTGCAAACATGTGAGCTCAGGACACAAAGTGAAATTCCATGCCATGCAGTAACTGTGCAGCATTGCTTAGCGTTATGTGGGAACTCAGCCACTGCGTTGGACCAAAGGTGTTTGCTTGCTAGTTTTCCTATTGCCCAGTGACTGCTTCCAGCAGTCGCTCTCTGTGCACTCGGAGACCTCGTGGCAAAGGTCTTAATTCTGTTCCATCTTCAGGCTTAAGTGCACTTGAATTCAAGACAGAGTCCTCTTGTGTATTTGCACATTTATTATGGCATACACTTTCGTAGACTAGTTTACTTAATAAATGTGTTTATGTTTAAGATGTGACAGGACTGTTTTTACTGCAACCAACCAACCCTCATGGCTACTCCTTTGGAAACTGAATTTAAGATCTGCCTTGTGCAGTAATTCATTTTCTGATGTTTAAGATACTGCAGGTATTCCAGCCCAAGAAGGCTAGATGTTTTTATTCCAGAATCTCACGCCAGGTGTGGAGCGAGTGCCCCTACTTGCTGTGTAAACACTAGCAGAACTTGGCTGCCCTCATTAAGGAAAGCATAAATAAAATTGCTAGAAACATTACGGCGGTTTGTGGCAGGCCTGCCTTATATAAAGGAAGAGGAATTTTCAGAAGTCAGGCCAGAGGCAGGCTTTATGAGGGAGTAGTTTGCATGCCACACACATGGTAAGAAAGTTCAGTCTTTATCATTGTATTAGTTATGAAGAGGTTGCTGGTGGGACAGGTGGTGATATCTCCTATGAAGAATCACGTAATCCATGAAAAGATTGGCACCTGCTTGAAGAGATGAATTTTAAGTGTTTTGAAGGATCTGTTTTCAATATTCAGTCCTAAATCTGCTTCTTCTGCTTTCATTTGCTGGCGTCAGGTTTTCCAAGTAATGTGTACAATCCCAAGGAGAGTAATAAAGGCATCAGTATTATGGGAAAGGGAATGAAAGAAGACTTTCTTATAATAGCATGTTTGGTACAGTTGATGTTTCCCAGGTGCTAAGGAGGTGACCATAAAGCTGCCTTTCACATGGTGAGACAATTCTGCTCCCTGGCCAGCAGCAAAGCTTGTTCTGCAGTGTTTTAGCCAAGGTAGTGAAGTAGCCGTTCAAACCGTCTCCAAGGCATAGTGTGTGGGTAAGTGTCGATTTCCAGGAAAGTGTCATCATGGAAATGCTTCAGAAAGAAGAGAAAGGCACACTTCATCTTCTGTGGCCGGCTCACACGTGTCAATACATATTGTATACGAGGAGTTCAGGCTGACTGCAAAGCAGACAAGAGATGACTGAGGGATGAGATGGGATAATACTCGTAGGAAGGATGAGGGGAACTGCAATAGGAGTATTTCTAGAGAACCAAGGATGAAGCAGTGCCCATTTTCTGAAGTATTACTTTTGATGGTAAGAACTGCAAATGGAATCCAGATTAGGACACAGGACAAAGGTGTCAGGTGCCGTAATGCAATTTTACTTTTGCTGTTTGCTGGAAGATGGAGATGGATGGCTCTCCAATATTTTGCCTAGTCTTCTATAGAGGACTGCTGGGGGTAAAAAGTGAGGGGCAGTTAACTTCTTTGTGGGGATGCTTGGCCTCCCTTAGAGCCTGCTGGGATGGCCTCTTAATGCAGCAAAGTGGCAATGGACAAGGGTAGCAGAGGCTGTTATGCACTGGTTGTGATGGAAAGGCTGATCCTGTAATCCTTTGCAGTTATTAAGATGATTTCATAGTTGGAGCTGTTCTTTATGTCACTCTTACATACCTACTTACTGGTCCTATACTAGGGGTGGGCATCTTGGTGCCTGGGGCATAGTGTGACCCCAGACACCTTTGTTGGTGCTCACGAAGACACCTCCCAGCTGTTACTCAAAAATATTCTTACTCAGGGGTCCTCAAACTTTTTGAACAGGGTCCAGTTGACAGGTGCCAGTGGTGAGTGTGGGCTGCCAAGGTGGTGCCGGTGGGGGAGCACGGGCTGTTGGGGGGGGCAGGGTGTGTATGCACGCACGCACATGAGGCAAGGCGGGGATGGGGGAGGCACTCCGGGGGGGGGGGGGAGCGCCAGCTTGCTCGTGAGGAGATCATTTTCTCCAAGCTAGTCCAAAATGACCTTCTCGTGAGCAAGTTGTGCACCCGCATGCATGCCCAGCAAGTGCAAAACCTGTGGGGCGGGCTGGTTAAAAGGGCATGGTGGGCCGGATCCGGCCCGTGAACCTTAGTTTGAGGACCCATGTTCTTAGTGTTGCTCCAAACTGAAGGACCAAGCTTTTAGCTGCTACCATCTTACTTTCCTATAAATGTCCCTGGGCAAGTTACTGTCCTTTATGCCTTAGCTGTGCCAACGCATGGCAGGCATCCTATGGTTGCTCCCAGAACAGTTTCTCAGATTTCCCAGTGTGCTGCCCACCTCTGCCCTGCAGCACTGAGATTCAGTTGGCCATTAGCAAGTTTACTGCAGGCCCTGCTCTGGTCCAGACCGCATGGCTTCAGTTGCTGAACTCTGCCCCATGCCCACAAACAGTGCACAGGCCAGGCCAGGTCCAGCTTGAGGACCCATAAAAAGGCAGCTGCAACAGAAATCAAGGCAAAGCTGGACACAACCTAAAAATGTCACACAAGCATTTGGATGGTACATACTCGTATTTTTCCTTGGCAGACGTGTCACCTGGAGTCTGACTAACAGCAGCCGGTCAATCTGGAGAACAACCACCCAGAGAAGTTTGGCTTCATTCCAGCACAAGCCTTCACGATGTGGGCAGCTGTTGTGTGTTTCCTGCTGATGTCCTTGTGTGTGTCTAAAAACGGGAGCTCTGTCTTAAAAGAGAGTGGTGTTCAGATAACCCATGTACATCTGCTCAGCAGTGAAAAGCCTTGTGGACAAGCTTGTAAAGGTCTAAATGTTTCAGGTAAGTCTTACTCCCCAGACCACCCCTGTGAGGGGCATATAGTTCTGTCTGTGTCCCTCACAGCATTTGTAACGATGGCCTCTCTATGCAGTATGAGTTCACAGCTTTCATTAAATTGAAAACAGCATCAGCTTCCCAGGAACTGGCTTGGCTTTGCAATGCAGGAAGCATAGAAGAGCCTTTGTGTGTGTGGCTAGCATGGAAATTGTGTTATATTTTTAACTTTCTCTACAGCCAGATGTGTCTGAATCTGGTGACGTTTTGCATTCTTGTGTGTCCTTGTTACCATATTATCTGAATGCCTTGTAGTCCTGGAAAATATTTAGAATCAAATGTTGACCTGGGCTTCGAGGGTCATTTCATTCCTCCCCTGCCCCAGCCAAGGATGTTTGAGACTTAAATCATCTCTGACAGTGACGTGTCAGTTTTTTTCTTTTTTTGAAAGCTTTAAGGCAGGCGTGGGCAACTTATGGCTCTGCAGATGTTTTGGGCTGCAACTCTCAGCCCAGCATAACCCACGAAGTTGCAGGCCAAAACATGTGGGGAGACACACGTTGTCCCTCCCCTGCTTTAGAGGAGCGAGACTTCACAGTTTTTAGCTCAGTTGTTCACATTGCCTGACTTAGGCAGGGCTGCTGTCGCTTAATCCAGCTGGCGTCTGGTAGACAGTTGTTGTCTTATGCCACGTTCATCAATCACTGTGCTTCATGCCTCTACACACCAGTCGGCTTCTATATAACAGGCTCCATCTTTTTGCCTAGTTATCATGAGTCTTAAGGTTCAAATCCTGAAATAGTTTTCCTGTCTCACTCAGCATTGTCTGTGTAAGGTTCCCCAGATTTTGGGGCCAGTGGGCACATTCAGAATGCTGAGAAAGGTGCGGGAACTCTCATAAAATGGTTGCTGCAGGGAGGATGGCGACTCACAAAATGGTGGGTTGAGACAGTTTCAAAACACCCTTTCTTGGAAAGCAAATTGGTGAGGCTAAAAAAAAGTAAATTATCCAAGGCAGTGATGGAGTCTGAGTTCCTAGACACAGAGTCACTCTCTTGAATCCAGTTTTCTGCACAGGCTAATGCAGCTCTGAGGCAAGTAACTTGGCCAAGAATGCCACATGGGATCCAGAAACCTCCTTCAAAGTAAATATGGGGAGGGAGCCAGCTTTTCACTTTGCAGCGTGCAAATTCTCATTCTCTCTCTCTCTCTGTCTCTCTCTCGTCAAGTAGCCTGGTGGGCACCCAGAGAGGTGTTCATGAGAGCCATGTTGAAGGCTCTCTGAGATCTGCTTTAACTCTCAGAGGCTGGGAAGATCAAGTGACATTAAGAGCCATCATTTTCCCATGAATTGAAGTTCTCCCATTCATTGTCTCCTGTTCATCATGGCAATCAAATTAGTAATGAATAGCATTTTAGGGCACCATCCCATGTGGCTGTCCATAAGCCTCTGATCTCAGGGGATTATGGGCATCCTGTTGTGGGTATGAGAAGAGAAGAGGTGAGGACTGCCTCCATGCCTCTTCCATCCCTCAAAAGAGGGCCCTTTGTCCTTGCTTACAAGGAGGAGGAGGAGCTAAGGCATTGCCAGGATTGCTGGGATCCCAATCTCTCCCTCCCTCTCCTCAGAATGCCCTTCCCAAAACCATCTGCAAAGTCACCCTTGCAAGTTGGAGCTGTAGCCCCAGGGAAGAACTGCACCAGCAGGGAGGGCGGGAGGAGGATGCTCTGCAGTCACCCTACTCTACCCTCAGAACAAGTTTCTGGGGATCCCAATCCAACTACAGCTATCCAGACAGTAGCCAGTGCCACAGGGTTGCACCCTTAGTTGCCCCTGGAATAGCCTCTCTTAATTGTTCCAGTTCCAGTTTTGAGGGCAGGACTTAATCACCAATTTCTTCCCAGTCTTCTACAAAGATCATTGATTAAAGTTTCCCTCCTCCACTGCAATGGAATCTGACAATAAAGGGCAAATCAGAGGGTATTCATCTTCCAGCCTAAATCGATAGACAGGACCAACATGGCAGAGCTTTTAAATTAATGTTACAGCGCACCTTATGCTAAGCAGGACATTCTTGTGAATAAGCATTATAGAAAAATCTTCTCCATAAGGAAGGACTTTGCAGGATAAATACAACACTATGTTAAGTAGTAGGTGGAACATCCATTTTAATTCCAGCTGATTACAGAAAAACAGATGTTCTAAAGGACTGTAGTGTGGAAGCGTCTAAAGACCTGAAATAGAAATGGTTGTTCACCATTTACTTTTGCTAGTAGGATAAAATCCAATTCCAGTAGACCAGCCTTCCCAAACTGGGCTCCTCTAGCTGTTTTAGCCTACAGTTCCCCTGTCAATTGGCCATGCTGATGGGAACTGAAGTCCAAGTCATCTGTAGGGCACCCATTTGGATAAGGCTGTGTGATGGGATTCATTTTGCTTCAGTCATGAGTGCCACTTTGCTTTCTTTGCAATCTTCTAGGTCATCACCACTGCTGGTCAGTGCTGTATCAAAGTCGCTGTGTCCTCTTGCGCTGCCCTCAGCTGAGTGCATGTCAGAATGCCAGCATGCAGGATGTTAAAGAACTAATGGGAGGTAATGTGGACACCCCTCCCTTCCCAAAAAGAAAAGACAAACAAACATGAAAGGTTTGGTTCACAAGGCTGCATTCTGTTTTCCTGTTCATCTTCCCAATGTTTAGTGTGTTTTAAAAGGGATTCTGACAGATTGCTAAAAGTTTTGCCACAAGAGAAGCAGTAGTCCTAGAGGAACATGATCAAAAGCCTCTGCTGTTTCCCCTCTGGACTTTTTGCTTGCATTTATGTTCACCTACAGAAAGAAGGAAGCCTCGACATTAGTATTCTGTTGGCTCTCAAGCTAGAAGCAGGAGGCCAGGGGTGTAATCAGAGTGGTTTTAGCATCAGTGGCTAACATTGGGTTTTACAGCAGAAATGTCTTCTGTTCTAATTAAAAGTGACACCATAACAAAATGGAGCATGTTAGAAATAGAGGAAAGGCCCTTGTAAAGTGTGCAAGAATTCTACTGTACATGTGCTTTGAAAGGGGAAATTTTTCATGGTTCTTTCTGGTCCTCAAAAGGCTTTTCAGGGACTTAGTGGCCATGTTAAGTTGAGCACGTCCTTGCAGCCAAGAGCCAGGCGTAGTGATGAGAAAGATGTTCCTTCCATTTTAGCTCTCCCCATTTAGCTCTCTTTGTTTCTAAAAACTGGTTTTCTTTCCAATATTTAGGCCAAGGATGGGAAACATGTGGTCCTTCAGATGTCATTGGACTCCAGTGCCTGTCAGCCCTGGACAGTATAGCCAATGCTGGCAGAAAGTGGAGGTCATGTCTAGCAACATCTGGAAGGCCTCACATTCCCCATCCATGATTTAAATGAATTGAATTCTGTTTTAAAAACAGCTGCTTTGATGTGTTCTGAGGGTGTGCGTAGAAGACTGGCTCAGTCCAGTCCCCAGGAGCTATACCTCTAGTCCCCAGTCTGTCCCCTGATCCCGAGTCTGCCGTGCTCTTGTACAGCTCTGCCACTTTCTCCTGTGGAAGCAGAGGCAAAAGGGATGTTAAAAACAAAACCGACTTGCACTCTCCTGTCCAGTATGAATGGCAGGAGCTCCTTTGGCATTTTCGTAAATGCATCAATAGCACACTAAGAAGAAACAGAAGCAAGCAGCTTACGAGAAGGACTCCAGCAAATGGGGTGGGGAGAGAGATCCCTTTGGCCCTGCTTTGGCTTGTGCGGGGGCCAGTGGGTGGAACCAGTGTTACTGCCCCTCCAGTGCTTGCTCAGTTCCGAACACGACCCTGTTCAATGTACTGCAAATCTGATGTGAATGAAAGTGGCATATTGGAGCACAAGCAGCCTGCCTACTGGCTAACCAGTGGTAATGCCAGTTGTTCACTTCAGTAATTGCAGAGTAGTTGTTGTCACCTCTGGAGGCAGAACATAACCATTCTGAGAGATCTGTGCAGATCTGTACTTAAAAAACACCAGTGCTGATTTTCTTACCACAAGTAGTAGTTGCCTGCATGCAGAGGGTCATGGAAGCTAAGGGGAGTGCCCTATGTGAGGTCGTAGATACAACTCAAAGATGGCTGTATTGTGACTAGTTGATTCACATGCAGTGTAAGGGAATTAGAAGCAACACCACTAAAGCCTTCATGTATAGTTCTTGAGAGTCTTAGCTGCTGGGTTTTTGGAGTCCATTTCTGATCATATCTCTGGGTTTGTTGTGCTTTTGTTTTTAAGAATTCATGATCCGTAAAAGAAGGGGGCATGATGCAAGCCATCAGACTAATAAAACAGATGAACGGGATAAAGAGCTGGAGAGGACGACTAATGCACAGCTGGTCCCAGTAACTATAGAAGTGCCTGTTTCTTCGGAAATGCAAGTAGGGACAAACGCTGGGCAGACTGCAGGCAGCACCACAGTCACAATAACATCCCTTGTGAGAAAGGCGACCACCGCCATCCCTGGGACCACCGCCATCCCTCAAATCGCAGCAGGAACAACAGCCATAACCAGCTCTAGTAACAGTGTAGCCATGGTTCCTGGGAACACAACTCTTAGCACCCCAAACATTACTTCGGTTCCCAGCATCTCTCCTTATACCACCACAGCATTAACTGCCACAGTTTCCCCATCAAATGGCAGCACTGTCAACATTAGCAGTGCAGGGAGTTCCAAAGGGCCACAGGCCAATGTGTTAATGCCAGGAGCAGCCGAGAAAACGGGATCAACAGCACCTCTTGCAAGGACACTTGCAACTTCACCTACAGCAACAAAATACGTAGTACGTCTCACCTCCCCAGAAGCGGGGGTTGCACATGACACTCCTGAACCAGCTAGCTCAGCCCCTGTAGGGGGCGGCTTAAAGGTGACGAGCTTGTCAGCATCTGTGGCCACCCACAGCCCACCAACTTCAGCCAATACGAGCATGGCTGTGACGACGACGATGACGACGACTGTGATGATGACAACAAGCTCAACTGTGGCCGCAACAACACCATTGACTGAATTCACAACACACAAGGCCAAATCTACATCCAGGAAGGCAACTTCTGCTGCCACTACAGAGGGTGCCAAAATTCACACTACTACACAACAAATGAAGACTGCTAGTCAACTGGTTATGGCAAGAACTCCTATAGATCACTTGCCAGGGTTTGCAACAACATCGCCAAAATCAGTGACTGTAAAAGAAGACAAGGATCAGCAGGAAATGGGCAGCGAGAATAGTTTTCAGCAGCAAGATGCCAGTTTGCTCTTAGCGGCACTTCTCTTTGGAATCCTATTTTTCATAACGATTGTAGTCTTGTTTGCCATACAGGCCTATGAGAGCTACAGGAAGAAGGACTACACCCAAGTAGACTACCTGATCAACGGGATGTATGCAGATTCTGAGATGTGAAAGCAAGAAGAACAAGAGGAAGCTTAATATGTACAGCTATTACTGAGGGAAGTCAAAAGCCTCCAGTAACTTGTCTTTCACTTCCCTGTTCTGCCTATAAGACCAATCGAAAGTGCTTCCAAATTACTTTTGGTGCAATGTAGGAGAAATGCCATGTGTTTCAAAAATATTTTTTTAACTCACAATTACAGGTTACCATGGATATATTATTTCTCAAACTGTAGCATCGCTTCTGTGGTGCACATTTTGTTTGCCATTGTGAAGGGTGTTGGTGCTGCAGGCCAACCTTCTCTGAGGACCACGTTCTTTTCTAGGCTTGGTTTCTCAGGCTCAGTTCACGGCCTGCCTCGGTCTTCCCCACCCTGGGGTCCCCCAGATCTGTTGGACTGCCGCTCCCAGCAGCCCAATGGATTCTGGAAGTTGTAATCCCAACACATCTGAAAGACTCCTGGTTGGGGAAGGCTGTCCCACCTGTTCCTTTGCACCAAATGGTAGAAAGTGATGTTTTTGACTGAAGGGTGGTGGTGGGGTTTTGGCACGTTGGCATTCCTGACACCTCAAGTCCTGGCTGGGCTCTGTCGGTTGCTGGCTGACCAAGGACTGGCAGCATTTGTGCAAGTGACGCATCTCTAAAGAGGGCTAAGTGCAAAAGCTCCTTTGTATAGGCTGGGAATTCTTTGTTATGGTACTATTAGCTTCGCTTATTGTGCTACAGCAGTAAAGCAGCCACTGGGGAAGCTGCTGGCCCAAGATGCAGTCCAGGAGCATCCTTGAAGACTCTGGATGAAAACGCACCTGGGAATCCCCACTCCCTGTGGGTTGCCAATGTTTGTAGCAGAGGACTCTTGTTTCAGGGAGCTCCCGCTTGTTAAAACTCTGTTTACTGGACTCTGTGAATGCTGTGCTGTTTCCTAATCATAGCAGCTCTTCCTTGAGGGGCATCTGCACCTTATATGATTTTATTTTTGTACAGACTCACTTAATAAAAGAGGCCTGGGGGGCCATTTAAAAGTTCACTGGATCTATTCTCCCATTCCTCCCCTCCCTCCTTTCCCAAAAGTCTTCTGACAAGCGGGTGGGTTCCCTTCTGCTAGAGGCATTTAAGCGGAAGCTGGATAACTATCTTTCAGGGATTCTGTAACAATTCCGGGCAGTGCAGAAGCTGCATTGAATGGTCAGTTGGACTAGATGATCTCTGAGGTCCCTTCCAGCTCTCCACACCACACTTTCAGGAAAGCACTATTGCTTTTATTTTGATCAATGCCACTCTGACCAGTTTCTGTTGCTAATTTGTATTTTCAAGTGTTCCTTGCTGCTCCAGGGATGTGCCAATAGGGTGTGCTGTTATGCTGCTTGATAGGCATATGGATTCTGTCAGTCCGCAAACATCCCCAGAGATGCTGGGAAGCAGGAGATGCCTCCAGAACGGCCGCTTTGCTTCATGCTCCTATTTCCTTGGCTGATGATTCCTCCCTCCTCTCTCCTCCTTCCTCTCCTCTCCCTTGTGAACTATATTTAAATAAGAGATATTCTCCACTTGCATTGAGATGACCCAGCATCCTGTTGACCCCAATTAAAAAGAAAGAAACTATTTGGATAGGAATGTAACAGCTTTAAAAAAAAATACAAACAGAAAACATTTGTGTGCATGTTTTCTGCCTGTGTTCCTGCAGGGAAAAAAAGCCCGTGTGCCTGCAGAGCAGTGGATTCCCCCACTTTTTTCTGTTCAGCTTCATATTATTTTAAGATGCAATCCTATGCATGATTAGACAGGCAAAAAGTCACACAATTTCCAGTGTTCCCTACCCTGCATTGTCTTAAATATTTCTATCTTAAGCCTTGTACCCTTTTCTTTATCTTTTAAATGTGTTCTGTAGAGCTTTTAGAGTCCAAAAGAACAGGTCCCTGCCCCAAGTCTTTAAAGGACTTTAGACTGCAAACAGGGGAAAAGTTGGTGAGAGAACAGAAAGCAAAGCAAAGAAAGAATATTCAGTTGTTTCCATGACATATGCTTCGGTTTGCTTGTATCTCGTTTTATTATTGTTAATGTATAAGCCATCCAATGACAATTTTCTAGTTAAAAAATAATTTGAGAGTTAAGCCAAAGAAATGCAACCTAAAATACAAGGCTCAAAGTCTAAAAGAGTTTCTACACAAGGCTGTTAATTAATAGTTAATCCACTGTATCTTTCAATATTCTTGCAGACTTGAGATCTGAGCGCTACACAAGCGTTTCCTTCCTGGTTTTCTACTACATAACGTCTAGGTGGCACTGCGGTAGAGTGGAATAGTGTGACTATACAAGTGGGGGGAAAAGCTGCTTTCACAACAAAAAGCCACATTTTTCCAAATTCTAAAAAGAACTTGCTGAAAATGCTAGAAAAACTAGAGGGTCATGCCATCATCTAAAGAAGGTATAAACAAGCATGAATGGGAAATAATGCATGCATAATAAATGTCTTGTGCAGAAATGTAAGAGTAATAATGCATCATCATCATGGCCCAGTAAAGCTATATGAGAATTAATTAAAGCTAGAACAAAACTAAATACCCTAGAAAAATAAAAAGCTCTTGGCTTATTGCCAGGCAGTCAACAACACAGGGGTCAGGCAAGTCTGTCTAGGGATGTCTTTCGCTTTTAGATCCTCCAGGCATCATTTGAAAACAGACATTTCCAGCTGTGTAGCAGAGAAGGGACTGCCTCAGACTTATGAGCAGCAGCAGCAGCAGCAGCAGCAGCAGCAGCAATACTTTTTAATTTAACAACAAACCAGATTAACTGTGTCACCTTTTTATTATTTTAATTTATTAAAAGTGACAGTCCCAAATGTAAAACTATCCCCAAGATAAAACATGGCAGAATTGTGAGAGAGAGAAAGAGAGAGCTATCTGTTCTGTCAGTTCTTTCCATGGAAGTAGAATGTTGCTGTGCCTTAGAAGCCAGGCAGGTCTTATGGAAGGAGGTCTGGCGAGGTGGGAGCCACTAACAAAAAGGTCCTGTCTTTCATTCTTTATTGGTGCAGGTGCTCCCATCCTGGCCTGAACAAGGGACATTTGAGGTTGGAGGATCACTGTAGGGCAGGGCAGGGCAGGGCAGGGCAAATCCTCCCTGCATGTTATGACCACAACTTCTTTTGAAATGCCTAATAGCCATGGAAGGGCACATCTTTGGCGGGGGTGCTGAATGGGGGGGGGGGCAGGGTGAATCACTCCATGTATCCTGCTAAAAAAACAACATCTGGCTGCTGCAGCTAGGCACATAGGAAGCAGACACTCCATCTAGCCCACTAACTGGCAGCAGTGGCTCTCCAGATCTCAGACAGAAGCTTTTCCTGCCTTGCCTGGAAACACTGGGGATTGAACTGGGGATCTTCTGCACACGAAGCACATCCTCTGCCACTCAGAGTTAAGTCATAATTGGGGGTTGGTCACAGCTTGCGTTACCCCTTGCTGAGTGCTATGCAGTCCCATTGCCTCCCACACGATTAGGTTTTCCAAACCCCCTTCCCTTGGGGGTTTTCGAGTGGTCCATGTGAGTGCTGATTCTTTGAACCAAGTCCAAGGAAGGTGGTGCAAGGCTAGAATACTAGCAGTATGTTCTGAACCAGCTGTAGTTTTGGAGTACTTCACAAATACCTGCAGCCCACTGCAGTAATTTAGTGTGGCATTTACCAAATCAGCCATGAATGTAGCCAGCTCTTCCTACACAGCTCTCCTACTAGCACCCAGGAGCAAGCAGGCTGCAGGAACATTCCCAATCTTCTATCCTGGCCCTAAGGGAGAATATGATCTCATCCAGAACAGGTCAAACACATACTCCAAACCCATCCGTCTTGTCTGGATTAATGTGTGTGTATTTTTTCTTATCCAATCTGACCGATCCCAGGCACCTGTTCAAAACCTCAGTGCCACACCTGGACCAGGTGAGAAGGAGAAATAGAGTTGTGTATCATTAGTTTCCTGCCAACATGGCACCTGGAGTCCTTGGATGACCTCACCTGCTGTTTTCATGTAGATGTTAGATAGCATGGGGGAATGAGAAAATATATGCCACTTGCCAGTGGGTGGAGCAGAAGACTCCAATATTCCTACCTAGACAATGCAAAATTTACCCATATCTCTCTTCCACTAAGGTAATAATAGTGGATGCCAAGCCACACGATATTAACTACCAGAATGCATGGTCTCCCTTCCCATCCATCTCCTGATGTCACCTTCCAGGGGGACACACAAAAGTCTGCCCCTTTCAATCCGACTGATGAGGGTCTTGATAATAAATGCCATCCAGGAAGGTGCAGAGAGGGATGCAGGGGGCGGCTAAGCAAGTTTGGTTGGTTTGTTCCCCAGGGCAGGTCTTACCCACAACCTCCTTCAGGGTGGCAGTGACTGCCCCTCTCACCATGAAGCATTCATTGCCTCCTGCAGCTGACCATGCTGGGGTTTCCTCTCCCCTCTGGGCATTGACAGTGTGGGCAAGGGCTGAACAAGAATGTCCTGCAAGCACCATGGTGTAGTGGTGAACGGTGGCATGCGAGGGCTTGTCTTGTCAATCTCCATAGCCAGGCCCCTGAGAAGAGCCCCCAGAAGGGGCTGTGATGCTCCAGAGTTATATATACCAGCGAGAGCCTAATATATGTCCATGCACAGGAGTGCTCACACCAGCATTTTGCTCCTGAGATGATCCATTTCATCCCCAGCTCCTGTACGGTTGCAGCTTACTTCAGAAGCAGCAGTGCAGTCTGAGCAAGGGAGGGGGCAGGGTATCCCTGATCATCCAAAAGTCTCGGTGGGCTCTAGTTCCATTACACAGCAGTTCAGACATCCTGTCCACATGCAAAGGCTGTAATCACACACACACACACTGTGTAGGACCACAAGGACACTCTACAACCAAAGGTTGCAGCAGATGTGAGCTATTTTTATCCACAAAGTGCCTTGGCATCACACGCTCATTCTGTGATGCGGGGGGAGGTATCCTGCTCCCCCACTAACAATCGGCATATAATGAGCCACTTCCCAACCTACACAGACATGATGGAGGAAGAAAAGTAAGTGTCTGTTGCCTCTGTCACCCCTTTGCAATGAGCGCTTTGGTTGGATTCATCCCAAGCCTTCCCCCACTCATGCTCTAGCCATCAGCTGAGCTTTCCAGCATACCAGAGAGCTGACCAAACTTTTGTCAGAGTCAGTGCTGCACCGGTTCCTTGGGACAGCTGCCCATCCCAGAGGTTGCTGAGAGTTTCCACCAGCCCAGCAGCCATGCAATGGGGATTCCTCGGTGGTGATTAGGACACTGCAGAGGAGTGCAGCAAGAGCTTCAACCTGTGCCCGGGCATTGGCCTGTCCCGCCCAGCACGGTCGGCAGTGGCCTGCAGCAGCTCGCCCGGGTTTCGGGCAGGAGTCTTTTCCCACACTGCTTTGAGTCGCCAGGGGTCAAACCTGGGGCTCTCTGCATGCAAAGCAGATGTTCAGCCACTGAACTGCAGCCCCTGACGTTCCACCCTGAGATGTAAGAAACCTGTCCAAGGGAAAACAGCTACGGGAGGAGTCTGCCAAGGCCATCCATAGATCACTGTTGTCCTGCAAGGTATCAGTCACAAGGCCAGTTCTGTATTGACCTGCCCAGTCTGACCTCTTTGAAGTGACCCACGATTACTGGCGGCCCTAAAACCTTGGCGAAATGAGTAGCCCAGCAAGAGACAGCAACACTTCCGTAGTGTGGCTCCTCATCATGAAACCAAGAGTGCCCCAGCAGTGCTCGTGGTCTGTTCTGTCCCAGGGACCCAACATGATGCAAACACTGCACGTTAGGGAATAGATACGTTCCCTTTAAATGTTACAATCTAAAGAAAAGTTAATGCTCAAGTTACATTATATGATGGTCCCTTAAATAGCATTTTAGGTTAAAGGGAGGATGATTTGGTTAAAATGGAAGGGATCAAGAATAGCATGCCAATGTGGTGGAGCAGTTAGAGTGTTGGACTAAGGCTTAGGTGATCTGGGTTTTAGTTT